AGGCGTCGCACCGAGCAGCTTCCCCCGGCGCGCTAGGCCCGGTGGGGGGCCGGGGCTGGGGGCGTCGTGGGGACTCGTCCCTTCTCGGCGTGTGGCTTGGGCTTATTTGGCCGGGCGGGGCAGGGGATGGGAACGCCGGCGCTGGGTTTTGTTTAGCACGTTGTGTGAACCCACTGAGAGATACACCGGTTATATCTCAGCCTTGCCCAATCGGGCTGCCTCTGGGGTGTTGGGGATCCTGGCCCCCCTAATCCCCAGCCAGCACAGCCTTGGGAGCTCGAATCGCAGATGACTGAAGGGCAGTAAGGAAAAAGCTGCTATAAATAGATAAATTGCATGTTCTAAGAAGAGGGCAGGCCGTTATTAAAATTCTTTTTACAGTTCAGCCCCATGTTTCAGGTTTTTCTCTTCTTTTTCTTTGTCCTCCTGTGCCCATCCAGTGCCCCCCCTTTTGTTTTTTTTACTTTTCAGGCTAGATTTCCTGGTGAGATTTCCTGGTGGCCTCCCATCCAAATATTGACCAGCATTGTAAGAACACCCAAGGTCAACCAGGTGCCATCTAGCTTCAAACACAGAGATCTCTAGTTTTAACAAAACAGATTCAGTAGCGAGTGACAGGAGTGTCTTTCTCTGCTTTAGACCCTGGAGAGCCATTCCTACTTACTCATCTGCATTCAGATGATAGAGCTAAGACCAACTTCTCTTTATCTGCCTGGGGGCTCCTTTTTCAAACGGTTTAAGTACTGTGCTGGCAGAAGAGGGTGTGATGGCTTCTTCCGGCCAGATGAAACCGAAGGACACCTAAATTACACTGTCCAGCCAGAAGAAATGACCGTGGTCTATTCAGCTCACATGAGAATGTAAAATTAACGCAAATATTAAGGTTCAGAAGTTGGGCTGTGCAAGAGTTGGTGCATTTTTGTTGATACAATTAATCTGTACAGACAAATCATCTTGGCTTGGAATATCTCCATATTGAGCAATTCCAGGGAATTAAAAACATTTCTATACCATACCACTTTTTATGCTGTGTATTCCCAGGTGATGCCAACATCAAAGTACACCTTAGACCAGTACTTTGGCTGGCTGGGGAATTCTGGGAGTTGATGTCCATACATCTTAAAGGGGCCAAGGTTGAAAAACCCTGCCTTAGACAATTTTAAAGAAGAAAGTAAAACAGAGTGCAAAAATGGATTAAATCTATTCGAGTGGAAACAAATGCAGTAAAAAACTCAGTGGGATAATGCCTCCAGTGTCCCTACTGTAAGTCAAGAGAAGTGGAGCAAATGTTAGACTGCAAGTGATCTATGGCTAATAAGAGGCACAGATACCAGGCTTAGCTGGATTCCCCAAAGGGGCAGGGTTTTGGGGGGCCTCTCTGGAACTAAGGCTGTATGGTGTTTCAGGAATAATTCGAAGGTGCTTCAAGTGCAGAAACACCTATCTGCCACTGAGCCCCATCTGTTCTCTAGATTTCCTCTGCAGCTGCTGCATGATTCTAGGAAAATACAGCTGCTTTAAGGCCTTGCAAGCAGGTGCTGCATTCGTGTCCCTGCATGCTCCAAATCACCTTTGAACTAGAAGCATTGTGCAGGCCTACTGAAAATAATCTATCATTTGTCTCAAGCAAAAACTCCTTTCTTGCTGTGCTATTCTTTCTAGCTTAGGTTGTGGTTTGTAAATTTCGCCTTCCATGTATTTTTTTACCCCTGCTATGTTGTTGACGAGTTGACTTGCTTAATTTCTACACAGCAGTGCACCTTTCTGGAGCTACAGTACTGTTCCACCCTCCCGCCCATTCTGTCCTGTTCAAACAAGTAATTTTCTGCTCTTGCTCTGTGGTATGATGACAAGACAGGTGGATCCTAACGCTGTTAACCCCAAACCTTTGAAGTGTGATTCCTTTCCCTTCCCATTCATTAGTGGACTTTCACGGGTAAGGAAGAAGTTTGTAGGATTGGTAGGGCGATCTAGAAGGATTGCAGATCACATGGGGTATACGCACTTGTGAAGTTCTGCAGTGCAATTGCCCAGAATAACAAACTTGGGTTGAAGGGTCTCAAATTTCAGTGACAATCATTTCCTTCCTTGTATTTGGAGCTCAAGTTCTCTGTGTATAATTTCCAGATTTTGCCCATGGAAATCAAAGGCCTTTGAAATTCTGATTGTGAGTCTCCTCTTAATCAATCCTGAACTTAATGTCCATCAGTTTTGTGAGTGGCCCCAAACCTCACTTGCTATTCTAAGAAAAGGAAATTAACTCTCCACCCACTTTCTCTGCTGTTGCACAGCAATTATATTGCCCACGTTTTCCTGCACAAGCACAACCAGCATTTAGACAGTGGGGTTAAAGTGTGTGTTCGCTTTACAGCTGTCTTTTTAAACCTACAGACATGTTGGACCAAAACACCTTAATTCTCAGCCGGTCTCATGGATGTGGCAATCCAAGCACATGTGTCAGACTTCAACTGGAGAGTAGCGTAGGTATGAAGATAGATGTTGAGTTTGGGAGATGTTTCCCCACGTAGGTGTCTTCAGCCTAGCGGAAGCCGCCCGTTTCCAACAGCATGATCTTTGGGGCTGTTGGGGATGCAAAAAAGGGTGTGGGCTGCTTGGGGTATTTTAGCCTCTATTTAGTTCTAAACTCTTTCCTGCAGATCACCTTGAGGAAACTCTCCCATGTAACACAGAGGTCAACCTAAAATAGTTCCATCTTCCTTTCTTCTGCCCATCCGGGTTTATGGGTTACTTATTTACACAGATAATTTTTGTGCGCCGGGACTGTGGTCTGCCCAGGTGTGTGGTCTCATGGCATTCTGTCCTGTTTAATGTTTCTTGGGTGCCGCCTCACACCTACAAAGGCTTGGTTTGGAACATGTGGTGGAGAGGCAGGAGAAAGGCTATGCCAAAGGAGAGCTGATCGCATCTGGCTTATGGGTTCTTGCCCTGCTCCGTCTCTACTTGTGCTTGAAAAGCACCACGTGCAGCACGTGGGGAGGAGGGCAGAGAACTCGGTGCCAACAGCCAATGACAGTGTGCCAGGATATTGCAAAAGGTTTCTATGCAAAACTACAAACAAGCCCGCAAACAAACTATGCTGTGGGAAGTGAAGCCTTTGTGAGCGATGATTCTTTTTTTCCAAGATGAAGTTGATGAGAGTTCCCCGCATTTAAACACAGAACAATCACCAGTCCCTTTGAGAGCCTGGCATGTGGGATAGGGGAGAAGGGGTTGGATTAGGACCTGGGAGATCCAGGTTCAAATCTATCCTCTGCTAAGGAAAGTCAGTGAGTGGCTTTTGCCCAGTTGTGCACTCGCTCTCTCTGTCTCAGCCAGCCTGCCTCACAGGGTTGTTGTGGGGATAAAATTTGGGAAGACTGCCATGTAAGCTCCTGGTGGAACGGGAAGATATAAATCCAACAGATAAATAAAAAGAAACAAAAGGAGGAGTAGGGATCCAGATTTTATAGCCAGGGGGAGGCAAAATCACCTCCTCACCCATCTCCATTCTGCACTTTCGCCTTTGCAAATTTTCACCAGTGAGGTCACTTTATGGTTTTAGATCTCGGGAGAAAAGTGAGGACAGAAAAGAGGGGAAGTAAACGCAGAGAACCAGACTGGTACGCTGAGGAGAAACGTCTTTGCTATGCTCCATTTGTGCACTCTTTAATTAATTGCATTTGTTGCGTCCCCACCTGCATTTCACGATTTTAATGCACCTTTTGCTTTCGCTGTTTCTCCTGGTCAAGGCAGTGGCTGTCTTTACACAGCCTAGTTTATGAAGTAACCTAGTGTTTCTCAAACTTGGCAACTTTAAGACATGTGGGCTTCAACTCCCAGAATTCCCCAGCCAGCATGGCTG